CACGAAGCGTTGTACTGGGTGGGCGAAACGCAGGGAGCAAGGGCTGTGCTGGGTGGTGGCGGACGCATGCGGGCGGTGCCACTGGAACCTTCGGTGGAGCTCCCTCTGGGGCCACGAAACGTCTTATTGGATATGTGAAGCGCAGGGAGCAAGGGCTGTGCTGAGTGGTGGCGGTGGCATGCGGGCGGTGCCACTGGGACCTTCGGTGGAGCCCCCTTCTGGGGCCACGAAGCGCTGAACTGGGTGGGTGAAACGCAGGGAGGAGGGAGAAGGGGGAGGAGGGAGGGGGAGTCTCTGGAGTCTCTGCCTGATCGCGTAGCGATATACTCTTGCTCGGGACCGCATGGCGCGGTGCCACCTTCCATTCAGAAGGCCTTCGACAGCAGGGCGTGGTTCAACGCGTCGACGCTGAGGAAATGGCTGCACCGAGAGCTGAAAGAAGGTCTCCATCCTCACTGCGGCCTTTCTGCTTCGTCGGTGTGTTGCCCTTTGTAGACTCCCATTTCCATTCGCAACGTTGAGGACGACCGACTCCAACCTGTGTGTGCATACATATCCCATTACTGCCTTGTGATGCGGCCGCAAGGTGTGCAACACGTCGCACGAAAGGCTGGGATTTCCATCTCATGGCTCGTGTGATGCATTTATCTTCAAACTCCTTCTGTTCTGCAGCTCGCTCGCGAAGAAACGCTTTCACGTCAGACTCGGTCATTTTTCCACTTCTGTAGCTGACGACGTCGGGCTCGACCTTCGCACCGCGCGTCCGATCCCCGTCGTTGTAGCTGATGGCATTGGGCTCGTGCTTCGTCTCCGCCACTGCCGCCATCCAAGACTTCTCGCATGCACCGCACTCGGGTCTGTAGCAGATGACGTCGGGCTCGACCCCTGTCATGCGACACAGTCTTGTCGTTGTAGCTGATGACATTGGGCTCGTGCTTCGTCTCCGCCACTGCCGCCATCCAAGACTTCTCGCATGTACCGTCCTCGGGTCTGTAGCTGATGATGTCGGGCTCGACCTTCCCGTCACGCGACACAGCCTCGTCGTTGTAGCTGATGGCATTGGACTTGTACTTCGGCTCCGCCACTGCCGCCGTCCAAGTCTTCTCGCATGCACCGTCGTTGTGAATGATGGCATTGGGCTGGTGCTTCGTCTCCGCCGCTGCCGCCATCCAAGACTTCTCGCATGCACCGCACTCGGGTCTGTAGCTAATGATGTCGGGCTCGACCTTCCCGTCGCGCAACACAGCCTCGTCGTTGTAGCTGATGGCATTGGACTCGTACTTCGGCTTCGCCACTGCCGCCGTCCAAGTCTTCTCGCATGCGCCGTCGTTGTAGCTGATGGCATTGGGCTGGTGCTTCGTCTCCGCCACTGCCACCATCCAAGACTTCTCGCATGCACCGTCATCGGGTCTGTAGCTGATGACGTCGGGCTCGACCTTGGCGTCACGCGACGCAAATCCGTCGTTGTAGCTGATGGCATTGGGCCCGTGCTTCGTTTCCGCCACTGCCGCCATCCCAGACTTCACGCAGGTGTCGTCCGCGGGTCTGTAGCTGATGACGCTGGAGTCGACCTTCGCGTCAGCTAACACAGCCTTGTCGTTGGAGCTGATGGCATCGGGCTCGTGCTTCGTCACTGCCGCTGCCGCCGCTCCAGACTTCTCGCATGTGTCGTCCACGGTTCTGTGGCTGTGGACATCGGGATCGACCTTCGCGTCGTGCGACACAGTCCCGTCGTTGTAGCTAATGGCATTGGCCTCGTGCTTCGCCTCCGGTTCTGCTCGCTGCTGCCACTGCCATTCTGACCCCCACGTTCCTGCCGTGTCCTGCGGAGGCTCCCAAAGTCCGTATTGTTCACACTCGCTGCTCCCAACGCTGTAGCTGACGACGTTGGGGTCCATATTCTGCATCTTGCGGAGCTGCTCCACCTCGCGGGTGAGGCGGTGGATGGCTCGCTCAGCCGACCATTGTGCCCATGCCCGCCGGGCTTTGCGCTCCTTCGGGGTGAGCCTTGGGCCCCACTTTCCGGCACCCATCCTGTAGCTCCGTTTGAATTTCCACTGTTTGTTGACGTCAAAGGCGGTCGAACATGCGACAGTTGCGACGAGATCCCCCAAGCACCGCGCGGAGGTCCTGGAGCCGGCCCGGGGCAAGGGAAGCCTGTGCCTGGGTTGCTTGACGAGGAGGGAGGGGGAGGAAGAGGAGAGGAGGAAGGACGCGGGGACCGTCTCTTCAAATGAGGACCCAACACCACAGGATGGTTGGGAAATATTTCTCTGGCCAGGCCGGGCTCCTCTTTGTCCCGATGCCCGTCTTTAGCGCTCTTTCTCGTGTTGCCCATGGCCTGGTCAGTGCCACGGGTGGTGTTGCAAAGCCTTCCGATTGCGTGGTCTGGCCGCGCGGGTCCTCTTCGGACCTTGCCTGTGGCGAGGAAGCAACGATATACCCAGGCCATCGGACTGCTGGCTCGCCCGATGCCCTCCTTTCCTGCGCCCTCGCAGGCGTCGCTGGTTGGCATGGGCGGTCTGCCCTCCTGCATTATGTGCTCCCTGGTCTCTGTTCGGGCATCCCTCTGGAGGGGCCGCCCGACACCAGGGTTTTCGGGCTGTGCCCCGCTGGCCGCGGAACGGAGAGCTACAGGTCGCGGAGGGCAGCCGCGCGCAGTCGACATACCCTCGCTGCAAACTGTATATGTAGTGGTCGAAACTATCTCCTCGCTCACCTATCACGGTTGTTGGAGCTCCGCGAGCAACGACATCTTCCCTTCCCCCTCTCCCCCTCCCTCTCTATCCCCGTTTTTCTTTTTCCTCGCCCACGCTCCTCGATCCTCCTCCTCCTCCTCCTCCTCCTCCTCCTCCTCCTCCTCCTCTCTGAAGGGCGTTCCGCCGTTGGCCGCCCCGCCCCCGCCGGGCGGTACCGCCTGGCCGCCCGAGCCAGGCGTGCAACACGGTGCTCTCCGACCGCGACGCCACGGCCACCGCGGAGGTGAACGCGATCCGGGCCGCCACGCAGAGGTTCGCCACCGTCCGCCGCCGCCGAGTCGCCGCCCCGCCCCCTGGGCTGGGCCCAGGCGTTCGGGGGGTTGGGGTCCTGCGCCCCCTATCTCGGGAGGAGGGGGGAAATGGGGGGGAGGAGGAGGAGGAGGAGGAGGAGGAGGAGGAGGAGGAGGAGGAGGAGGAGGAGGAGGAGGAGGAGGAGGAGGAGGAGGATGAGGAGGAGGAGGGGGGACGGGGACGCGGGAGGGGAGGCGAGGCGGAGGACGGGAAGGAGGTGGAAGGGCTGGCGGAGGATGAAGGAGGATGAGCAGAAGCAGAGGCAGGAAAAGGAGGAGGAGGAGGCGGAGGAGGAGGAAGAGGAGGAGGAGGAGGAGGCGGAGGAGAAGGAGGAGGAAGACGAGGAGGAGGAAGAGCAGGAGGATGAGGATGAGGATGAGGATGAGGAGACGGAGACGGAGGAGGAGGAGGAACACGATGATGATGATGATGATGATGATGATGATGATGATGATGATGATGATGATGATGATGATGATGATGATGATGATGATGATGCTGATGAGGATGAGGATGAGGATGAGGATGAGGATGAGGATGAGGATGAGGATGAGGATGATGATGATGATGTGATGATGATGATGATGCTGATGATGATGATGCTGATGATGATGATGCTAATGGTGATGGTGATGCTGATGCTGATGCTGATGCTGATGATGATGCTGATGCTGATGTTGATGATGATGCTGTTGATGAGGATGATGATGATGCTGCTGCGATGATGATGATGATGTTTGTGATGATGATGATGATGATGATGATGATGATGATGGTGGTGATGCTGATGCTGATGCTGATGCTGATGATGATGATGATGATGCTGCGGCTGCTGCTGCTGATGCTGATGATGATGATGAGTGATGCTGCTGATGATGATGTTTGTGATGATGATGGTGGTGATGATGCTGATGACGATGATGCTGATGATGATTATGATGCTGTGGCTGCTGCTGCTGATGCTGACGATGCTGCTGATGATGTTGATGTTGATGATGATGATGATGATGATGATGATGATGATGCTGATGATGATGATGCTGATGATGATGATGATGCTGATGATGATGATGATGCTGCTGATGATGATGATGCTGCTGCTGGTGGTGGTGATGGTGATGGTGATGATGATGATGATGATGATGATGATGATGATGATGATGATGATGAGGAGGAGGAGAGGAGGAGGAGGAGGCGAGGAGAGGAGGAGGAGGAGGAGGAGATGATGATGCGATGATGATGATGATGATGATGATGATGATGCTGAGATGATGATGATGATGATGATGGATGATGATGATGATGCTGATGCTGATGATGATGATGATGATGATGATGATGATGATGATGATGATGATGATGATGATGAGGAGGAGGGAGGAGGAGGAGGAGGAGGAGGAGGAGGAGGAGGAGGTGGAGGTGGACGAGGAGGATGAGGAGGAGGAGGGCGACGAACAATAATTCTCATACGAATGCGAACGCTAAGACCGATAAGAAGTCAATGAGGACTAGGAGAAGGAGGAGGCGGACCTGGAGGAGGAGGAGGAGGAGGAAGTGGAGGAGGATGAGGCGGAGGTGGAGACGGACACGAAAACGGAAACGGAAACGGAGACGGAGAAACATAAGGAACATGATAAGGAAAGGGAGAAGGAGGAGGCAGGGAGGGCAACACCCGCGGGGACTTCCTGCCATCAGGAACCATGAACCAGGACACAGGAACCATGAACCAGGAGGTGGAGGAGGAAGAGGAGGACGAGGAGGAGGAGGAGGAGGAGGAGGAGGAGGAGGAGGAGGAGGAGGAGGAGGGGGGGAGGAGAAGGAGGAGGAGGAGGAGAATGAGGAGGAGGAGGAGGGAGGAGGGAGGAGGAAGGAGCGAGGAGCGAGGAGCGAGGACGGAGGAGGAGGAGGAGGAGGAAGAGGAGGAAGACGAGGAGGAGGAGTAGGAGGAGGAAAACTAATTATACCAATAGTACGACTACGACTACGACTACGACGACTACTACTACTACTACCACCACTACCAATGACAGTACTGTTAATAGTAGTAGCAATAGTAGTGGTACTACTACCACTACTTATAGCAATAGCCATACTAGTACTAATACTTCAATTCATATGTTTCGACCGAAGTTAGTACTAAAATGCTAGTGCTAGTCGTACGGTTACTACTACCAATAGAACGCTAATATAAACAATAATGCGCTAACCATGCGAATACTAACACCATGCGTAACGCGAATACGAAGACATACAATGCTACACGTACGAACAATAATACTACTATTACAAGTGTGATTCGTAGTAATAATACAAATGCTACTAGTAAGCCGAATAATAAGACTAATACGGGGAGGAGGAGGAGGAGGAGGAGGAGGAGGAGGAGGAGGAAGCGGAGGAGCAGGAGCAGGAGCAGGAGCAGGAGGAGGAAGACGAAAACTAATAATAGGAGGGAGGGAGGTTGAGGATCGAGCCTGCCCTCTGTCTTGTTCTTTCGACCTTGGCTGTGCTTTTACATGACGGGCCTATTGCTTCCGAGTTCCGATGGGGAGGCTTGGCGGGGGGGGAGGAGGAGAGTGGGGGGGATCAAGCGAGTAGCGCTCGCGCCGTGTCTGACATGCGAAGCACCCCTCCCAGCCATTCTTTTCCACCGCGCTGCGTGCTGCTCTCTCTGTCCTCTGGCTGGGAGGGGACAACAGGCGGAATCTGGAGCTGGGGGCAGTCGAAGCTTCGAATACAAGGATGCAGGGCTGGACCTAAACGCTGTTTTGCTGGACTTCGGCTGTGTTGTGTTTTCCGTTTTGGCAGGGAGGTACAGGAAAACAGGGCGAGCAACACGAACAACAAAACGATACCATAACGAAACACAGCGTTTAGGTCCAGCCCTGCAAGGATACCTCGTCCGACAACAGCATGGGGAGGGAGAGGCTGCGGCCCTCGGATGGTCGCGCGCGCTCCGTGTCCCAGCCCGCCAGGCTCGAGACGCACAATCTGTCCGGCTGCGACATTTACTGCACCGTGCACCCCGACCTGATGTCTCTGGGGGCCATCCTGTGGGCCCGCATAGACAACGTGTATTGCGGCGTCACGCAGCAGGTGGCCGCGGGGGTCTCTCTCACTGCGCCTGAGAGCAGACGATGGCCCGACATTAGCGCGTAAACTGCTCACGTAAGCTCGCGCGTAAGCGCCCTCGTCTCCAATGTAGCGTGCCGCGCTGGCGGCCCGCGTAATTCGCTGGTAAGGTCGCTGTGCCATCTCGCGTAAGACCCGTTTTTGATCGTCGCTCACACGAATAAACACAAATTTTCGGAGGTATCCACGGATTTTTTGGATCGGCGCTCTGGACGCGGGAAGAGCTCCAGGGGCGGCGCCAGAGGCGCCGCCGGGGCAGCTCCGATGCGAGACGTCCGCGCGGACTTCCGTCGATGCTTCTGCTGTTTGCTCCTTTAGAAAACCTCGTTGCTGCTCCCCCTCTCCCTTCCTCCTCCTCCTCCTCCTGCTCCTTCTGGTGCTGCCTCTCCTCGCCAGCATGCCCGGGAGGCGGGGCACGACGCGGCCCGGGGCGGGTGCTTCTGCCGCTGCCTGGCCCCGTGGCCAGGTTCCTCCGGTCTGTCCAGCCGTGGCCACCATGTCTCGACCGGTTCGGGGGTGGGCCAGAGATGCAGGCCTGGGTCACTTCAGGGATACAGTGAGCGGCTTGAATAAGGAACACTTACTTTTCAAAAGGGGCTCGGTCGTTCCTTAGGCTTCCATGCGTTATTTATCGTTCCATATTGCGTTATTTACTATTTGTTCATCGTTCCCTATGCGTTATTCCTTGGAAGAAAGGGGCTTCGTTCCTTATTTATCGTTCCTTAGGTCAGGCCGATGACTGTATCAGAAAGCAATGCTCCAACGATGCCAGACCCTGCGCCACGAACCAGTCGCTGCCGCTTCCGAGAGGACATCAGCCTCGGTCCCATGCCGTTGCAATGGCATGCGGATGAACGTTGTGCTAGGGCAGACACGTGCCACTCCTCAGCTCTGGCCACTTCCGCTTCCATTCCATTTCAATGCCCGTTTCTTCCAGCTAATTTCTTGTTTGGCATCTTCTCGATGGTTTGGGACACGCAGCTACGACTTCCAGTGGTGGTGTGTTAATGGCGCGTCTTACTGGAAGACATCAAGATTGTTGACACGACTGGATCAGCTGAAAGTTCTTGTTCACGTTTTTTGCAGGCAACCCGAATGGGACGGGAGCAGACGAGGTTGGCTGGACGAGATCGCCGATGCATCGGCCGTGCGGCACGATTCCGAGCCCGATGTTCTCCATGCCGACGTCGCCGATGCATCAACGATGCATTCTAGGTGCGGTACGATCCACCGACACCTTTCTGCTCCAGCCCCATTTGGGAGGCTTCGCATGTTACATCTCGTGCGCTACGGCTTCGGGAGACGACTTTTGTTGACGCGCGGCTGGAAGTTCGGAGCAGCTCAGGGGGCGAACGTCCATGTTGGCGAAACAGCTCCTGCTGTTGCTCTTCCTTCTCCCCCCAGGCTAGGGCCGTCGGCCTCTCCTCCCTCCCTCCCCACTCCTCCGCTCCTCCCTCGCTCCTTCCTCTCTCCCTCTCTACCCCCATCCCTCCCTCACTCCCTATCTTCCTCTGTGCCTCCCTCCCCCCTCCCTTCCGTCCTTCCTCGCTACTCCTCCCTCCCTCCCTCCTCCCTCCTCCCTCCCTCCCTCCCCACTCCTCGCTCCTCACTCGCTCCTTCTTCTTCCCCTCTATGCCCCCATCCCTCCCTCACTCCCTATCTCCCTGCCTGCCTCCCTCCCTCCCTCCCTTCCTGCCCCGCGCCCCCAGGAGGGGAAGGATGGACGTTTCTGACGGGTGTGATTTGGGGAGAATTTGGGGAATTGGGGAGAATTTGGGAATTGGGGATGGGTGTCAAGACCACAAGCACGTTGACGTTGCTTCTGATGCGTGTGATGGATCCTCTCGGATGCGGTCGCTGTCGGCCGGCTAGGTGGCAAAGTCAGAGCATGCACAGAAGGTTAAAGTTAAGTCTGGCCTGTCCCTCCACAGGAGGAATGTTCAAAGATAGTCAAAAAATAGTCTGGGGACGATTTTTCATTTGTGAGTATTTTTGGAGCATTGTTATATTTGTCGTCCCAAGTCCCTCTGTAGCAGGACATGCCCTGCCTAAAGGTATAAGAAAGGCATTCCTCCTTCACCACCCGCCATCCTCTCTCCTTCGTGTGCTTCTCGTTTGTCGACTGTGGCTGGCTCAGTCCATGGCGGGCGGGTGTGGCCGGGGGGGGATTGACCAGGTTGCGGCGCAGTCGGGCTTCGAGGATGGCATTATCCACTTCAAGGACCTTGCCAGGGGTTGGGAGCAGGAAGGGGGACGAGATGGAGAAGGAGGACAGTGAGGAGGAGAAGGATGGGGTCAAAACCGATGATGATGATGATGATGATGAGGAGGAGGAGGAGGCGAGGCGAACAACCACGGAAGATGATGATGATGATGATGATGATGATGATGATGATGATGATGATGATGATGATGGTGGTGGTGGTGGTGGTGGTGGTGGTGGTGGTGGAGGTGGTGGTGGTGGTGGTGGTGGTGGTGGTGATGGTGGTGGTGGTGGTGGTGGTGACGATGATGATGATGCCGACGACGAGGATGATGATGTTGCTGCTGCTGATGATTATTGTGATGATGATGCTGCTGATGATGATGGTGGTGGTGATGATGCTGGTGAGGATGGTGATGTGGTTTTGGTGACGACGACGACGATGATGATGATGATGATGCTGATGCTGATGGTGATTATGATGGTGGTGGTGATGCTGTTGTTGATAATGATGAGGATGACGATGCTTTTGTTACTGTTGATGCTGCTGACGATGCTGCTGCTGCTGGTGCTTCTGATAGTGGTGGTGGTGATGGTGGTGGTGATGATGGTTCTGTTATTGGTGCTGATGATCATCATGATTGTGGTGGTGATGCTCGTGATGATGATGCTGGTGGTGATATTGATACTGATTGGTGATGGTTGTCATGATTATGATGACGATGAGGATGATGATGATGATGATGACGATGGCGATGACGGCGGCGACGGCAACGACTGTGATGATGGTGGTGATGATGCTGATGATGATGACGACGATTATGATGGTGATGATCATGGTGATGATTTTTGATGATGATGATGATGATGACGATGATGATGCTGATGATGATGATGATGATGATGGTGGTAGTGGTGGTGATGAGCACGATGACGATGTTACTGATGCTGTTGATGTTGATGCTGCTGACGATGATGCAGCTGCTGATGCTGAGGCTGGTGATGGTGGTGGTGGTGATGGTGGGGGTGACGATGACGATGACGTTACTGGTGCTGTCGATTAGTAGGATGGTGGTGGTGGTGGTGGTGGTGATCTTCATGATGATGCTGATGATGATGTTGATGCTGGTTGTGATGATGGTGGTGATGCTGACGACGATGATGACGATGATGACGATGATGCGGCTGATGATCATGATGATCAGGATGGGATGATTATGATGATGCTGGTGGTGATGATGGTGATGATGATGGTGATGATGATAACGATGCTGATGCTGATGATGCTGATGATCATGATGCTTATTGTGATGATGATGGCGACGATGATGATGATGATGATGATGCTGATGCTGATGCTGATGCTGATGATGATGATCAAGGTGATGATGATGCTGATGATGATGATTATCAAGGTGATGATGATGGTGCTGATGATGATGCTGGTGGTGGTGATGATGATAATTCTTATCATGATTACCATGATTATCATGATGATGATGATGATGATGATGATGATGATGATGATGATGATGCTGATGAGGATCAGGAGGAGGAGGAGGACCAGAGTAAACCCTAGATGCATTGACGATGCTGCAATCTACTCTCCCGTTCCAAGTCCCCTCCCCACTTGTCCCCGCAGACGTCTCTTCTTGTCACCCCGCGCGGTGCCCCCTTTGCAGGACGACCGCCCCGCGGGCCCGCGAATTCTGGTGGGGACGCAGCCTTCCAAGACATCCGTAGGGCTGCGCAGAGTCCCGACAGCCAGCTCGCAGACAGGCAGGACCACACAACGACGAGGGGTCGATGCCGCGCGCCAGTCTGTGCAGAAGCGCTATCCGGCCTTGCCGCGGGTGCCGATGCTTGGGCCGACTTGGCCAGGTCGCCAAGGTGGAGTGAGCTGGAGCACAGTCTTGCAGATGCAGAGAATACCTGCTGCCCATCCGAGCTACGAAAGAAAACGGGGTCGTCTGCCCAGAAATGGGCGCGCAAGCTGCCCGCGTAAGGTCGCGCGTGAGCGCACTCGTTCCCAATGTGGTGTGTCTCGCTCGCAGCCCGCGTACGCCGCGGCGTGAGGTCGCTGCGCCACCTCGCGCAAGTGTCCCGTTCCTTTTCGTCGCGCGGTTGTTTCTCCCCCTTTGCACTCTGCTGCTCCATGGCTTGCCTGTGGACGTTCCGCCCCCCCCGCCACGCCGAGTCCCCTCGCGCGGAAGCTCGTGCGGGCACCGCTGCCGTCACCGACAGGGCGGGGTCCTGAAGTTGTGCAGGGCCCAGCGACAGCCCCGCTTACAAAAAGGACCGCCCTCGACCCTCGAGCCTTCTCGATCCTCCTCCTCGATCCTCCTCCTCGATCCTCCTCCTCGATCCTCCTCCTCGATCCTCCTCCTCCTCGAGCCTCCTCATCCTCCTTCTCCTCCTCCTGGTGGGACCAGTCATGATATCAAACAGGTCTCCAGCGTGAGCCACATGTTGAGGAGGATCCACCCTCCCACAGTGTGGCTGGTACGGGACCTCATATACGTGCGGTGATCACTCTGGAGGAAATCTCGAGCGAGAGTCCCACTTCGAAACGGAGCCGCCCTCCATCCGCGTACTGCTGGAAGCTTTTCGGGCGAGTGTGCGCGGCGCCGCCAGAGCGAGAGTCCCAGTTCGAAGACCAGCCGCCATCCATGCGTGCGCGGCGCCATGGCGGGAGCCCCATGATGAGAACGATTCGCCCTCCGTCCGTGCAAGTGTGAGGACCGCAAATGGTGAGAACGTCAAGATCGTAAACGGTGAGGAAGTCTTATTCGAAACGCCCGACCCGCCCTAGTGACACGTCTGGTGGTGCGACAGGGAGGATCTATGCATATAGGCAGAGGGATGGATGATAATAGGATGAGGTGGAGGTGGAGGTGTCTCTTGCGAAGGTTCTCTCCTGCGTGAAACCGAACCTGTCGGGTCGGATGACACACATATCTGGGGAAGGGGGGGTGGTACGAAATCGGCTGCACGCGGCTGGTTTCGACCCCGCCGCCAGGTGATTTCGTCGATGCATTGGCGCCAGAAGAAAACCAGCTGCTTGCAGCTGACTCGCTGATCCCCCCTGTGTGTTCCCCCCCTCCGCTCGTTTCCCCCGACTGACCGATGTATTCTTTCAAGGACGTCCGACGGATTTTCGTATTGTTAAGCGGTGATATGTTTTTTTCGGCTGGAGGACGTCATACTCAGTCGGCGGACGTAGCGAGTTCGTACAAGGAGGAGGAGGAGGAGGAGGAGGAGGAGGAGCAGGAGGAGAAGGAGGAGGAGAAGGGAGGGAGATCTCGGATGATGTTCAGGAGGAGGAGGAGGAGCAGGAGGAGGAGGAGGAGGAGGAGGAGGAGGAGGAGGAGGAGGAGGAGGAGGAGGAGGAGGAGGAGGAGGAGGAGGAGGAGGAGGATATGGAGGAGGAGGAGGATGAGGAGGAGGAGGAGGAGGAGGAGGATATGGAGGAGGAGGATGTGGAGCAGGAGGAGGAAGAGGAGGAGGAGGAGGAGGACGACGACGAGGCGGAGTAGGGGCTCCGTCCAAGCTGCTCTCTGAAGGAGGAGAGGGGGTTGGAGGAGGGGTGAGGGCGCGAGGCGAGAGGAAGGGAAAGAAGGAAGCAGAGGGCGACGACAGAGGGGGACTGGCCCAGGGGGGGGGAGGCAGCGACCCCAAACCGCTCAGTCCGCGCCAATGGGGACCTGAGGTCCCGATTCCGCTCAGGAGCGTGCGGCTTTCTCAGCACGGCTTGCACCCGATCCGTCGGCGATGATTCGTCGAGATCATTGTTTCCGCCCCTGAGCCAGCCCCATCTCGGCACCCCTCAAGAAAGAGTAAGGATCGGGAAGGAACGTACGGAGTATTGGTGAGCAGAGGAAGGGCCAAGAAGGGAGAAGGAGATGCGGGACGTAGGATGAGCATAAGGAAGGAGGAATGAGAGGCTAACAAGGACGAACGACACGGATGGAACGACAACTCAGGAAGGAGGATGATGAGGGAAGAAGGACGATAGGGGGAGTCACACACGTAAGGAAGCCGGAAGAGGGAAGGAACCGAATTGAATGAGAAAGGACAGGGGGGAAATTGGTGGGAGGAAGAAGAAGGATGGAAATGGATGGAGGAACCTGGGAGGAGGGAAGGAATGAAAGATGGGATTAAGGAGGGAATGCGTCAGACGCTGCTCTTCGCGGCCGTTCAGGACCTTATCGAGACAATGGACAACGAACGCAAGATCACCGATGTGGTTGTGGGCGTTGCCAAGGACGACTGCGAGAAGGTGGCGATTGGCCACTTTCGATCGCAGTCAGATCGCTCGCCTCCCTCCTTCCGTCTCGCTCGTCACCACTTCCTCTCTTCTTCTGATTCCTTCTGGCATTGGGATGAGCAGGGCATGAGTGTGGTGCTGAAGATGGGCTGAGACTAATGAACGGCGCCTGAGTGCCGCAGCAGAAGAGGGGCGGCAACCGGGAGCAGAACAAGTGTCGCAAGTGCGCGGAAGGAGACACTGATTTTGAGGGCGAGGAGGGAAGTGGGGGTGGGGTGGATGTGGGGGGTGGGGGTGGGCGGGGGGAACAAGGAGGAGGCGGCAGTGAGGAGGAGGAGGAGGACGAGACGGAGACGGACGACGAGTTCAAGGAGAACCGAGGATTAAGTCGAGTAGGAGGAAGAGGAGGAGGATGAGGAGGAGGAGGAGGAGTAGGAGGAGGAGGAAGAGGAGGAATAATAGTAGTACGATAATGCGAACGATATCTTATTATTACTAATAACGAGAATAAGGATGATACTACTACCAATTCGAATAATGACACTAGTAGCACTAATACGATTACGACTGCTAAGAATACTAACGATCATACTAATTCGAATACTGATGCGATTCGTAATAATTCTGAAACGTTGAATCGTATTCATATTAAGAATGCTATTACTATGGAACAACTGCTACTCATACTAAGAACACTAAGAACAGCAATAACTATAAGGACAGTGAAAACACGGTTTTAAAATTAATAATAATAATAATACTAATAATAATAATAATAATAATAATAATAATAATAATGATAATAATAGTCATGATACGCAGGAGGAAATGAAGAGCAGGAGAGGAGGAGGAGGAGAACTCAGAGGCCGTCAGCACCCAGTACCCAGTATCCAGGAGGAGGAGGCGGAGGAGGAGGAGGAGGAAGAAGAGGAGTTGGAGTTGGAGGAGGAGAAGGAGGAGGAGTTGGAGGAGGAGGAGGAGGAGGAGTATGAGGAAGAGGAGGAGGAGGCGGAGGAGGAGACAGAGGAGCTCGGCCACATCAGTTGCTGCAGGAGTGGTCTGGCCAGAACCCTCTTTCCGCCTCCTCCTCATTCCTCCACCCTCCCCCGTACACATCCCAGATCCCCTCGCCTGGTGACAAACTCATGACCTCACATCACAGCTTTTCCGCCCTGCCGAGAAGCCCCTCTCGGGACCACAAGGAGTGCCATCAAGCTACGAGTCGGAACAGGGCCGAGCCCTCCGAGGCTCCACGCTGCAAGCTCATGGCGCCGGAGATCTGGGCACGTAGCCCTCCTCCCTCTTCCCTCCTCCCTTTTCCACCCCTTCTCATCATGCCCTGCCCTGCACCGCCCTCATCCCCCCAAGCCTCCTTCCTCCCACCTCCCGCCGTCTCCCTCGCGCCCCCCCTACTCCTCCCCCTCTTCTCTCCTCTTCCTGTTCGCTCCCCTTCCTCTCGCCTCCTCTCGTTTCCTCGTCCTTGTCGACCACATCCGCCCTCTCCCTCCAACCTTCCCCCATCTCCTGCCATCCTTTTTCCTCCTCAGCTTATGGATCTAGACCGGTTTACATATGCATATGCATGTACATGTTAATAGTCATGCAGACACCCATGTGTATCCATGTACATACCTGTCGACGGGGTCCCAGCCTCTGGCCCAGGGACCGCGTTCCTCCATGGGGGTGCCGGGTTCCTCCCGGAGAGAGCAGAGGCTACAAGACGAGCCTAGCAGAGCCCATCAAAGGGCCGGCAGGCCTCCAAGGCGAACCTCGAAACGATCGCTCTGCTGCTGCGCAGGCTCCGCCTTGCGACGCCTCGTGTTGACCAGAAACGTCTCCAGTTCTGTTCCGACGTCCCGAACTGGCAGCCTGCTGCACTTCGTTTCGAGACACGTGAGAAGCTTGTGTACCCGATCTGCCCATGTCAGTTATCCAGGACGTCGCCGCTCCACCGCTGTCTCAGCCATGCCCGTAAGCCTCGCTTCCTGCAGCTTCGTCGATTCGAGGTAGGTCAAGGCCTTGCGCCAGTAAGAGCGCCAAGTCGTGGGGTCGCCGTCCCCTGATGGGACTCGTCCTCCTTTCTGGTCGTCGCTGGAAGCCATCGTGAGCTCGCTATCATAGTTGAGAATCAAACGACCACGGCTCTGCTACCGTGCAAACTGGCCGTCGGTGTCCGCGCAGCAATCGTCCGCCGCGCCCTGCAGAGGCGGCCGCGTTCCCGCGCAGATCGCGGCGGCGAGTGCCCGAACGACGACTGCGCGTTTGCGCTCGCGCCGCCCCCTCACTTCGTCGACGGAGAGAACGACGGCGACGGCGGACAGCGCTCCTATTCGGCCGTTGCGGTCGATCCAGCGCGCTTTCGCTTGTGGCTGAGTTTGGCCGCCCTTTGCGACAAAGGATGCGCCGTGCCGCAGTGCGTCAGACAGCTCTCGCTTGGCCGAAGGGCCACGGGCGTGGGCGCCCTGCCTGCCGAGGCCGTGATGTTCTGCAAGGTGGAGGTCGAATGGTCCTCGCAGAGTCTCCGGAGCTGCGCGCAGGCGCAGCGCGCTCTGCGCGGCCCGCGCACTGCGGGCCAGCGATGTTGTTGGAGCGTGTCCGCCGGGTGCCAGTGCCGAGAGAGGCGGTCGCATGCGCGGGCTGGCCCCGCGAGGGGGGAGCGGTCGAGTCGGCGCGCGGCGAGGCCGGCGCCGCGTAGTGGGCAACCGCTCGTGTAGACGAACCGATCGTATGCGCGCGCCTCCATGCCCGGGGTGGGCGGTGGAAAAGGCGGTATACATCGGATTCAGCGCGGCCTCGGAAGCTCGGAAGTGCCGGTCTTTTCCGCCGGGCCGGCCTACGCAGCCCGGCGAGGGCACCCGGAGGCCGAGACCATAGGACGTGCTGGCGTCTGGGCTCATGTCGCGATTCTTCACGGCGTCGCGTTTTTCTTGCGCCTCGCCCGACGTCTGTCTTGGGGGGGGGGGCGAGCGCGCGGCGCAAATCCCTCCCGCGCACTCCTCTCACTGGGCCCGGGCGACCCCACGGGCGGAGCGGGGGGTGGCGGGGAGCGCTTGGTGGGGATAGGCTCAGGGGGCGATGCGACCCTCGATCGCCCATGGATTTCCGATGGCATTGATGGTCCTCCCCGCCAGGGAGCGCGCGGTGTCGCTGTCGTGGCCCCATCGGCGATCTATGCCCATTCCAGCCAGATGTTCTCTTCTCAGAGCCAGCCCCGCCAAATCGTTGCCCATCGGAAGTGGCGTGGGGGGCCGGGAATGGGGCCAGGCCCGAATATTCGACCACGTCCGCACCGCGTGAGGAAGTTCCACGGACAACTCTTGCAACGGGAGGCTGTTGGGCATATTGGGGACGGAGACGATGTAGTATAACATGGGGCCGTGCGTTGGAGACGGAGTCAATATAGTAGATGGGTGCGGTGTTCGAGACGGACGTTGACTAGTGAATGGGTGGTGCGTTGGAGGTGGAGGCTGTTAAGTCGATGGGTGTTGTGTTGGACGCGGAGGTTGTGTAGGAGACGGGCAGCGTGTTGGAGACGGAAATTGTTGACTACTTGGGTGTTGTGTTGGAACTGGAGGCCGTGGAGTGGAGGTCTATGAGAGTGTCTGAATGTTTTTGTTGCCGCGGGCGGACGAAGTTTGCAAAATTGAGCCAGGCGTGGCTCTGGGAGGCCACAGCGCCCTGGCGACCCCCAAGCGCACGTCCAGCCCGTTCTGGAGCTCAGAGGTCCTGTCCCCCGTGCACCCCCCCAAGAGGGAAAAAGGGGGCGCGCCCTCTGGCGCTCCGAGGCCTCCTCCCCTCCGGCCCCCCGGAGGGAGAAACAAAAGAACATGTTGCACCTCCGCCCCCCCAGGAAAAATGATAGGACGCGGGAGAAAGAGTGTAACACCGCAAGAGTGGGCACAACATATGTGTGTGTGTGTGTGTGCGCGTGCGGTGAGTCGTGCGTGTGCGTGTGCGTGTGCGTGTGCGTGGGCGTGGTGCGTGTGAGTTTTGTGCGTGTGCGTGGGTGCGTTGCGTGTGTGATAGTGTTGTGGGTGTGGCGTGTGTGTGGGTGTGTGGAGTGGGGTGTTGGGTGTGGCGTGTCGTGTGCGTGTGCGTGTGCGTTGTTGCGTGTGCGTGTGCGTGTGCGTGTGAGGTGTGTGTGCGTCGTGTGTGTGTGTGTGTGGTGAGTGTGCGTGCGTGCGTGAGTGCGTGGCGTGCGTGCGTGCGTGCGTGTGGTGTGTGTGTGTGTGTGCTAGTGTGGTGTGTGTGTGGAGGAAACTCCTCGTCCCTCCCGCCCCCCCCTCCCTTCTCCAGGGCATTCCTTCTCCCTCCTCTTCCTCCTCCCATCTCCTCCTCCATCCTCCTCCTCCTCCTCCCTGCCTCTCCTCCTCTCCTCCTCCCTCCCTCCTCTCCTCCTCCGCCCTCCGCCTGCCATCCTCACGCGTGGCTTCGGCCACTGCAGGAATCTTCCCCCCGTATCCCAGTCTCGCCACCGAACGGAGTGTTCAGTCGTTCCCCCCTCTCTCGGTCGCCTCCGTCCCTCTCTTCCCCCATTCCCTCGTTCACCTTCCCCTCCCCCCATCACCTCCCTTCCTTCACCTCCCTCCCCGTCATCACCCCCTTCCTTTTCCCTCGATCGCGTCCCTCGCTCCCTCCCTCGATCGCCTCCCTCCCTGCCCCAGCGCCCCCCATGCACGCAGGTCTTCCAGGAATGGTCCGACCGCAACGGTGTCATTTACTGAGCCGCCACCCTCTCCGCCGGGGGGGGCCCCTCGGGCGCGCCGGCCGTCCAGCGGCGGCGCTCGCTCGAATCCGCCACTGCCCCGGTTCTTCCTCCTCCTCCTCCGCCTCCTCCTCCTCCGCCTCCTCTTCATCCGCCGACTCCTCCTCCGCCTCTTCCTCGTCCTTCTCCTTCTCCTCCGCCTCCTCCGCCTCCTCCTCCTACTCTTCCTCCTTCGCCTCCTCCTCCGCCTCCTCCTCGTTTTTCTCCGCCTCCTCCTCCGCCTCCTCCTCCTCCTCCTCCGCTTCGGTCGGTTGGCCGAACTTAAGACTTAGGGCCTTTGGCGGCAGCAGCCTCTCACTCCCCCTCCTCCTCCTCCTCCTCCTCGTCCTCCTCGTCCTCCTCCTGCTCCTCCTCCGCCTCCGCTTCCTCCTCCTCCGCCTCCTCCTCCTCCGCCTCCTCCTCCTCCGCTTCGGTCGGTCGGCCGAACTTAAGACTTCGGGCCTTTGGTGGCAGCAGCCTCTCAACCCCCTCCTCCGCCCCTCCCCGTTCTCATCGTCCTCTCCTCCTTCTCCTCTCCCCTCATCCTCCCACCGCCTCCCTTCCTCCTTCCCGCCTCCCCTTCCCCTTCGCCCTCCTCCTCCGACTCCGCCTCCTCCTCCTCCCATCCTCCTCCCCTCCGCATCCTCATCCTCCGACTCATCCTCTGCCTCCTCCTCCTCCTCTCCTCCTCCTCATCCTCACCCGCTTCGGCGGTCGGCCGAACTTGAGACTTCGGGCCTTTGGTGGCAGCAGCCTCTCACTCCTCCTCCTCCTCCTCCTCCTCCTCCTCCTCCTCCTCCTCCTCCTCCTCCTCCTCCGCCCCTTTCTGCTCCACCTCCTCAGGGCTGCGGTCCGCGAAGTGCAGTCTTGCGGCGACGAAATAACGGCATGATCACGAGTTCCGCGCGGCGTGTTTGGATCGGCGTCGGACCTCCAGGGGTTCCAGCGCCGATTCTAGAAATCCGCTCGGACCTCCAACAATTCATGTATTTGGCTCTTCCTCTAATCTTGGCCGTGGGTGGGTAATTAGGCCTTCGACCTTGTCTGCTCGTGGCCCGATGACCAGGGGCTGAGAGCCGCGGGGTGCAGCCTCGGTCGTGGCCTTCCGAATGGTCTTACGGGGACCAGCCACCCTTGCGAGCAGCGCGAGCCGCCAGTGCCCTCCGCCTCCTGAGCGACGTACACAGGCGGGGTCGACTGCGCGGACATTTGCGCTCAAGTTGCCCCCGTGCAGTGCCGGAAGATCGCCTTTCCCGCGGTGTGCCGCTCGGGCGGCTCGCGTAAGCCGCCGCGCAAGGCCGCCGCGTCGTCCTGCAAGATGCCCTTTCTCTGCGCCGCCCTCCTCTTCCTCCCCCTTCTCCTCCTGCATGGCTCCTCCTTCTCCGTGCTTCGGTCTTTCCTGGGAGGAGGCGGCCTCGCTGGGGCAGGCTGCCCGAGACAGGAAAGCGGTAGCCGCCTCGGCCAGAGCTCGAGGGATGCAGGCCGCCGATCCCCCCTCTTGTTAGGGGCCGCTCCCCTTTTTTCCCTATTGTAGTGGCCTTCGGCCAGTGCCGCCGATCCGGGTCGCTCGGTGTTATTCTCCAGACGCAGACATTATGGGCGCACACTCAAATGCACAAACTTCTCGGGTTACCTTCGAAAGGGCGTAGGAATTCAGTTGGGTCAATAGAGCCATCTCGCAACAGTGGTTCTATCAACGGCGGGGTGCTTGCAGTGACCGTGGGGACGGGAAATAATAATGACATGAAAATTCCATGCAGGATGCCGATCACTTTGGAAACTCACGATACGTCGTGCACGGAGTCGTGTTACGAAACATGTGGCCTGGACGATGTGGTGCGAGCGGTGGAGGCGAGCCTATCGGCGCAAGGACGCCCTCTTGGGGCGTTTTTTGAGCTATCTTCGAGGGGGCCGTCTTCGAGCGGTCTTGGGGGCCTCTTGGGCCGTCATGGAGCGTCGGAAAGCCGAAAAAAGCGACAACCCCAAAAACATAGGAAAAAACCAATGGGAATCAACGATTTTTGCCTCTGGGGGCCATCGTGGGAGGCCTCTTGGAGGCCTCTTCAGATGTCGTGGAAGGCTCTTGGGCCGTCTTGGGGCCATCTTGGGCGTGTTCGGGCGATCCTTCGGGGTCTCGGGACTTTCGTAGACCGTCCTCAGAGACTTTTGCGGCCGCGGCCACCCTTCAGCGCATCCTCGAGATTAGAGCCTTCTGTAAAAGCAGCGCCCCGCATCCGCCGGAAACTCGCACCCCCCCAACCCCACCCCCCCCCCCCCCCCCCCCAAACCCCCCCCCAAATCCCCCCCTTCCCCGGCAGAGCCACACCGGCGCCAAAACCCCCCAGAGCCCAGATGGAGCTCAGGCTCGAGGCTGTAGCTGGACTCTGAAACTCCACTGCCGATCGGTGGGAATTTGGGGGGTCGTCCCCTTAACAGCTTAAGTTCTGCGCATCGCTCCTCCTCCTCCTTCTCCTCCTCCTGTTCCTGTTCCTGTCCTCATCCTCCTCTCCTCCTCCTCCTCCTCCTCTTCCTCCTCCTCCTCCTCCTCCTCCATGGTTCGTCCACCCTCAGGCAATGGTCGCAAGCTTCGCGACCGCCACGCTCGCTGCTCCAGCCTCGAAAAGCGGCCCCGCATCCCCCACGGGGAGCACGACCACCTCGCTGCGCGAATGGCGCGCGCCTCGCCTCCCCGCGGCGTCGCCCCCCTGCCGCGCTCCCTGGCGGAGCCACCCCGCCCGTCTCGCCGGGGCTGTGGCGCCGTCCTCCGTGCTTTCCGTCCCTCTTCTCCCTCCTGCTTGTTCCCCGTGTCCTCCCAGGCATGGCTGTATCGACCTCCGCCTCCTCGTGATGATTCTCATTCTCTTCCTCGTCATCCTCCTTCTTCTCCTTCTTCTCCCTCTCCTCCTCCTCCTCATCCTCCTTCTTTTCCTCCTCCTCCTTTTCCTCCTCCTCCTCCTCCTCCTTCTCTTCTGCTGCTGCTTCTCCTTGGTACGTCCTTGCGCCTACCTCCTCCTCCTCCTCCGCCCTCATCCCCACTCAGCTTTCCTCTTCTGTCCTCCTCCACCTCGTCCTCCTGCTCGTGGCCCACCTCCTCAACCCCCATCTCTTGGAGCTTTTCTCCATGCCATTCGCTGTCTACCTGGCCGCCGGTTGGAATAGCCCGGCGCGGTCCTGGTTTCTGCGATCTCACCCCCATTTTCACCGCGCGGCCGACAGAGATGCAGCGTGCGAGCCAAACACTGCGCGTCGGGCAAGCCCGGGGCTGCCGCCGTCGTCGCACGCACTGGCTGTGTGAGCAAGGGGGTGGCGAGTCGTGGGCGTCAAAGAGGGTGATGAGATTGGGGTCTTGTACCGTGATATCTCCCTAGATTACATGGCCCTCGTTTCATCACGCCCATGGGGTCCCCCGTGTGCAGCGCACGTGCCTTGGACCAGACTTGAGCGTGTTTCTTCCTTGATTGGGGCATGACGGGCGTCCTGGACCCCGTCACTTAAACCCCCCCGGTGCCCCCCCCCCCCCCCCCATGATGTAACGCTCCCCCCCCCGCTCGGGGCACTGCCGCCGTGCGCATCGGGATCCGCATAGTTGTCCGCATAGGAATCCGCATAGTTGTCTGGTCCTCAGTCGTCGTCGTCGTCGTCGTCGTCGTCGTCGTCCTCGTCCTCGTCCTCGTCCTCGTCCTCGTCGTCGTCGTCATCGTCGTCGCTCGTCGCTCGTCGCTCATCGTCGTCGTCGTCGTGGTCGTCGTCGTCATCGTCGTCGTTGTCGCTGGTCGTTCATCGCACGTCGCTCATCGTCGTCGTGCGCGCGGACGCGGCTGGAGCCTGTTTTTTCGGGGCTGATGACGGCAATCGTTTTGGGGGGGTGGAGGGGGTCGATGACGTCACGTTTCGCGCCAGCGGCGTTTGGGAATGCGTAGGAATGACCGAGGACGGGTAGCAGCAGCAAGAAGGTGGCGATCTGCACCACAATGCGTGTGTACACCACAGTGCCTTTCGTGCACCGCAGCGCCTGTGTACACAACGTCGCCTACGTACACCACAGCAGCCGCGTGCAACACAACGCCAGTGTGTGCCACAGTGCCTGTGGGTACCATTGCGCTCGTGTACACCACAGCGCTTGCGTACACCAGATCAACCGTGTGCAACACAGCACCAGTGTACACCACAATGCCTGCGTGAACTACAGCGCGTGTGTGCACCACGGCGCCTGTATGCACCGGAGCCATTGTGTGCAACAGAGCGCCATTGTTGTATATTCTGGATGTCATAATAAGCACCCCCCGTGCCATCCCGGCTTGCGTGCGTGCGTGCGTGCGTGCGTGCGTTGTTGCGTGCGTGCGTGTGTGTGCCTGTGTGTGCCTGTGCGTGTTTGTGTGTATGTGTGCGTGCGCGCGCTCGCGTGCTCGCGTGCGTGCGTGCGTGCGCGAGTGCGTGTGCGTGTGCGTGTGCGTGTGCGTGTGCGTGTGCGTGTGCGTGTGCGTGTGCGTGTGTGTGTGTGTGTGTGTGTGTATATTGCGTGTGCTGTGTAAATTTACACGCACGCACGCACATACACGGACACGCGCAAACACAATTACACACAAACACACAGTCACACACACACACACTCACACACGAACGCACACACACACACACACGCACACACACACACACACACACACGCGCACACACGCACACACGCGCGCGCGCGCACCTGCGCACATGAACACACACGCACACACACGCACCTACACGCACACGCACGCACACACATACACACACACGCACACGCGCGCACGCACGCGCACACACAGACACATCACACCACGCACCACGCACCGTGAACCCAACGCACTAAGATGCACGAGGAGGAGGAGGGGGGATGAGGAAAGGGAGGAGGAGGAGTGAAAGGTCGGATCCACACAACCGGAACCAACACCCCACCATTCCACCACGCGAAGTGACGACGGCTCATCCCATCCCCCATCCGCACCCCCCACCACGCGTAGAGACGACGGCTCACCAAAACTGCCCACCCCCCACGCCTCCCGCCAGACGGACCAGACGGACCCCCCTGCGCGGGACGACGCCGAAACATCAAAATCTGCACGCCCCGACGGTTCCC